AGGGGATGTAAGGTTTACTGGCTCCATTCAAAAAATAAAGATGCTGTAATAGTCATTTTAATATTTTAAATGTTAAAGGAGACATGCTTGATTAATTTTCTTTAGGATAAATTACCCTGGTGGTCTCACAGTGTCAACTTAAAGGGACATTATAGACACCCAGACCACTTCATCTCATTGAAGTAGTCTGGGTGCAGTGTCCCTGTCTCCCTTTTTAGAGAAACTGCCCTGTTAACATTGCAGAGCTAAGACTGCCTCTAGTGGCTGCCTCGTTACATTGTTAGTTTGCATATGATACATTTGTTTTAAGTTTTTTCTTCTGGATTTCACTGCAGTATTTACCGAAAACTCTTTCTCAAGAAAAATATATTTTTAAAAAAGCAAGCTGTCAAAATCTTGACTTTGTCTGGAAATAACAATTCTACATTTATATTATAGCACTTACTAGGGAGCCAGTATAGGGGAAACAAGAAAGACAAAACTTGCTTTGCATCACTTCTTTAGTACTCTGTACTCAGCCCTCTGCTGAGAGATGCAGTACACGTTGGACATAATTTGTCAGAAGCACGCATTCGCCCACACATACATTATAATGCTGCAATATGATTATTAATGCCGCAGCACAGGACGTGCAAATTAAAAGTATAAGTCAATAGTTTTAAATATAATTAACCAGTTCTTATAAGAAATACAGAAATGATTAGAAATTTATCAAGAGTATCAGTTATTTATTTGGTTGAGGGTACTTTGTCAAATAAATAGTAAATATAAAACCTTATTAAGTATAATGAGCACCCTCCCATCCAAATTAAATCTAATTATCATGTATTATTATATAGTTTGACCCACAACCAAATAAATAACTGATCCTAACTGTACATCCCTCTATCTCTCTAAAGAGGAGAATTATTATTAGGTGGTTATGGCGAAACCACTTTTTATCATAGTCTAAAATGCTGGCCATAAAGGGACACTCTACACCCCGAATGTATTTGCTTCCTGAATGCTTTATCTGTTAAGAGTGCCTCTTCTTTTTTATATTACAAAAAAGGCAGATTTCAATAGAAATTGGCATTTTTATAAATTAGCCTTGTCACTGGTTCTGTAACGTCTTGGTTGTTTAGGGCAATGGAGCTAAACGTAAGAGGCAGATAGTTGCCCAAAGCACCGGCCTTGTAAAGACTTCTTTTACAAGGTTTTTGGATATATCCTCAATGAAAAAATGTGTGTTTTTTTTACTAAACAATGGTTTATATTTTTTTGAATTTGGCTTTTGATTTTTTATTTATTTTAAATAGACACTAGTGCAGTGTCTCTTTAATGTCTGCATGTATTCTGCAATGTAATCTGAGGAGTAATAGGGAGAGGTTATATGGAGTAATAGGAGGAGTAATAGTGAGAGGTTATATGGAGTAATAGGAGGAGTTATAGGGAGAGGTTATATGGAGTAATAGGAGGAGTTATAGTGAGAGGTTATATGGAGTAATAGGATGAGTTATAGGGAGAGGTTATATAGAATAATAGGAGTAGTTATAGGGAGAGGTTATATGGAGTTATAGGAGGAGTTATAGGGAGAGGTTATATGGAGTAATAGGAGGAGTTATAGGGAGAGGTTATATAGAGTAATAGGAGGAGTTATAGGAAGAGGTTATATGGAGTAATAGGAGGCGTTATAGGGAGCGGTTATGTGGAGTAATAAGAGGAGTTATAGTGAAAGGTTATAAAGAGCAATAGGAGGAGTTATAGGGAGAGGTTATATAGAGCAATAGGAGGAGTTATAGGGAAAGGTTATATGAGTAATAGGAAGAGTTATAGGGAAAGGTTATGTGGAGTAATAAGAGGAGTTATAGGGAGATGTTATATGGAGTAATAGGAGGAGTTATATTGAGAGGTTATATGGAGTAATTGGATGAGTTATAAGGAGAGGTTATATTGAGTAATAGGAGGAGTTATAGTGAGAGATTATATGGAGTAATAGGGAGAGGTTGTATGGAGTAATAGGAGGCGTTATAGGGAGAGGTTATATGGAGTAATAGGAGGAGTTATAGGGAGAGGTTATTTGGAGTAATAGGAGGAGTTATAGGGAGAGATTATATGGAGTAATAGGTGGAGTTATAGGGAGATGTTATATGGAGTAATAGGAGGAGTTATAGAGAGAGGTTATATAGAGTAATAGGAGGAGTTATAGGGAGAGGATATATGGAGTAATAGGAGGAGTTATAGAGAGAGGTTATATAGAGTAATAGGAGGAGTTATAATGTGAGGTTATATGGAGTAATAGGAGGAGATATAGGGAGAGGTTATATAGAGTAATAGGAGGAGATATAGGGAGAGGTTATATAGAGTAATAGGAGGAGATATAGGGAGAGGTTATATGGAGTAATAAGAAAGTCTCTGTAGGTTTATTATATATATTTCGAGCAACAAGATGAATTAAAGGGTGAGGTTGTGTGAAATGAGACAAATTAAAGGTATATTCAAACAGCATTAGTGGTAAGTTATATTACATTATAGGATTTTGGACATGTATTGTGGCAAAAATTCCTCATGATTTAACTAATGCTGATGATGATTATTATCATACACTAAAACCTTCAGCTTATCAGTTAGAAAATCAACTATCGCCTGCTATAAGTCATTTTTCATCCCGTGTTATTGATCACTCACTGAAAGTGTGAAATGAGTCATCCTTTCAATCTCCACATTCACATTATTATTCTATGCGTATGATTTCCCCAAAACGTAACTGAAACTAGGTGAGAAGTTATTATTGATTGTACTAAATATTTCAATAACATTTGAAATGAAAATATTATCATAACGTTTATGAGCAGCAGCATAAAAAATAAATGATACTACTCGTGAATTCGTCTAGATTATTATATATTTCTTTTTAAAGCATGGTGCTATTAATCATTTTATTCATGGGAGCTGAATTGGCTGAAATGAGCTGAACATTCCATATGCTGCAGTTAATTTGGGATTAAGACCTTGATATCATAAGCTTTCAAATGATTCAATACCCCTGTCTGCCCGCACCTCCAACACCTCCCCCTCTGCCAGCCCCTCCATTGGCTTCCCGTAAGATATAGGACTCAATTTAAGATCCTGGTACTTGCTTACAAATCTCTACACAATGCTGGTCTGACCTACTTATCCTCACTAATACATAAATATGTCCCGCCTAGGCCCCTAAGCTCTGCCGAAGACCTACGTCTATACTCTATTCATACTCCTACCTCTGATGCTCACCTTAAAGACTTCTCTAGGGCTGCACCGTTGTTACGGAACGCTCTTCGCCTCTCTCCGTTAGACTTTTATCTAGTCTCCACTCCTTCATAAATATATGAAAACCTACTTCTTTAGGAAAGCATATCAATTAAACTGTGTACAGCTTTTTCTCCTGGTACCCTGATTCTTCTCCTGCAACTATCATCAAAACAAAACACTAAGCCCTCAATGAATACAATTCTACCAATCTACTTCCCTATACTTCCCTTACCTTTTGTGTCACTATACCCCACTCCCTCTAGCATGTAAGCTCATTGAGCAGGGCCCTCAACCCCTGTTCCTGTGTGTCCAACTTGTCTGGTTACAACTACATGTGTGTTCGTACACCCATTGTACAGCTCTTTTTTGGTGCTTTTTAAATAATTATAATTGTAAAACTTCCGATTCTGAATCGCCCTACCAAATCTCTTGGGATATCGAAATTCCGCAGAACCTTACAGCCACATGAACATCAGTTCTGCTGACCACCTCCAACTTTTTTCTGCTGAAGTGATTTGGAAGAATAATAAGTTTCCCCCTGCACAAGTCTACTGCTTATATTTCCTATTGGCAAATACATCTTTGTACCCAAGTCAATAATATGATGATGATATTCTCAAATCTCAGTAGTGATACGACTCCCTTACAGTGATACGACTCCCTTACAGGCATCTTTCATATCATAAATGCATGCTATCCTTTCCTCTCTCATTCTTCTTCTCAAAGCAGGAATTTTTCCATACAGATATATAAACACCCCTCCATCTCCCTAAACCCAGTTACAACCTTGTAACATACTTATTCAGATGCTCCCCAATGCCATATTCATAGATCTCCACAGCTATATTCACACCACTGCCTTATTTCCTAAAACCTATGGTAATATCTCCCACTGCCATATTGCTGCCTGACACAATCATATACCTCTCTACCACAATCATGATTCCACTGCAGGGGCTATACCACGTGCAGGAGCTCTCGTTAAAGAGCCAGCACACTCCTTTTTTGTTCCCTGCCGACGGTACGGTGAATACGCTGGCTGTCCTGAGAAAGCGGCCCAGCGACACAGAGTCATCAACAGCAACCATAAACTGCCACCCTGAATACCGAAGCTCATACCCAGACATGCTGCCATTTTTTGGCAGAATTGTTGGTCGTACCGAAATAAACATTGCCTACCGTAAATTTGGTATGCCCCCCAGAACAGGTCTAAGTACCTGAAAAGAGAGGGAGCCCTGTACGGATACCCATGCACCAAGATACTGGCAAAAATATTGAAACCTTAAAGCCAGTTTCCAAACATACATAGAAACTTAACTTTTTCCACCTCTTGCGAGTCACCACACCCTGGCCCGTCTACCGATTCCATATCCGGAGGAACCAATGAAAGCAGGTCCACATACTCACCCTTTATTATTTTGTCCTGCACTTCCCCTGGGACATGCAATCCCAAAGAAGACAAATCACATCCTGGGAGGCAAGGGCGATATGGCCCTGTCGCTCAATCCCCTCTACCTGGATAAATCTGATCCTTCCCCCGGGGAGCCTATCCAACACATCTTTTAACAAACCCAGCACGTCCCTAGAACTACCCTGTTCCGACCCACCTAAAGCACCCCAAGCGCTAGCGGAGGCCAACTCACTGCTTGCTCAGGAGGCTCTGACACCTCCCGATCCATAGGAAGCTCTTGGCCATCCTCCTCTGAATCGGATCTCGAGACTTGCAAGCCTCATGGCCCTCGGTCCTTCCACTGCTGCCGGGCATAGACCCACCACCGCTCCTCTTCTCCTGCACTGCCGTGGCTCCTGCCACTCCCGCCACTCCTGAGCTGGTGCACCGGCATCACGTACTCACCCTTGGTTGCCTCCACCCTGGCCGCACTTCCAGCATGCGCCGTCAGTTCTGGTGCTATTTGGGCACTCACCGACGATGTGGCATCCAAAGCCGACCTTCTTCTGGCGCTACACGCCTGACGTCCTGATGTCACTTCCTGTCACGCTGGAAGACAAGCTTGGCTGCACAATCTTCCTGCCATTTTACCGTCATCTTGGGCCTTCCTTCCCGCTTCCCTACGGATCTGTCACCTCCTCTGACTCGAACCAGGGGAAACTGGTGAAACTCTGCCACATGGCCACTTCGTCCAGCTCTCGGCCTCTCCACATGGCTCCGCTTCGGGGACAGATGCGTGGAAGGCCTCGTCCACCTGGCCCTCCGACCACCTTCTGGAGATTCCACCACCGTTCTCTCCTCCACTGTTGACTCGGATATCCTCTCCACTCTTGTCAGGACCTCGTTCAGGGAACCAGCAACATGCAATTCCAGGTAGGCTTGTAGTAAGGCCATCAGGTCATCACGGGAAACCGCCAATACCATCTGTCCCGGTATCACCAAGTTCTTCTGGTCTGAATTGGGGATTGTTTCGAGGTTGCTGTTTCTGTTGCGGTTTCCAGTTGAAGCAGAAAAGTAAGAATTCCTCAACTCTTCGTCGGTAACTGGTGGGTCCCCTTCCCTTAAGCACCCTTATATCAGCACCCATTGTTGCTACAAATGTTTCCCTCTTAGTACCAACTCCTTAGCCTGCCCAGCAGTCACATTCTCCCTTCGTTAGTGTCCATGGAAATTCTTTATAGCATTCAGTGCTGTGTTCTTAGTTAGTACCAGTCACTGTGCCCACATATCACAGAGACTCTGGCACATGGGTTTCAGTCAGGCCTGGACTGGCCATCAAGCAAACTGGGAAAAATGCCCAGTGGGCCGCGATGACCATGGGCCGAGGCCAGTCGGGGAGATTTAAGGACCTGCCCTGCCGAACACAGACACAGTCAGGAGCAGGTTTGTTACCATCCCACCCCCAAACAATATATAGGCTCTTTAACATGCAACACACTCACACATCACCCCTCGTTCACACACAGCACCCCTCATTCATGCTGTACCCCTCACACACACTGCAATCCTCACACACACTGCAACCCTACACACACTGTACCCCTCACACCCACTGTAACCCTACACCCACTGCAATCCTAACACACACTGCACCCTCACACAAATTGCACCCCTACAAACTGTACCTTATACACACACTGCATCCTTCATACACTCTGCATCCCCTTCAGACACTATGTTTCCTAAATACACATGCTACAGCCACTACACACACAATGTCACCTATATACACATACACTACAATACTCTTTCCTGACCCTTTTGTCTTCTGGTATCCCCCTATGGAGATACCAAAGACAAGCGAAAAGTAAATGTAGTGCAAGTATGTCATTAAATCCACTTGTGCTGCACAAAACAAAAACAGGGCCTTTATCTGATGCGAGAGTTCTCTGCAGGGCTCCGTGCCTGGGCTGCCCTGGAAGCATGCTTTTAAGGGAGCATGCTCATCATTGGTGATGACATGACAGGCCCCCCTCTGGCCTTGCTTCCTTCTCACTTGGCCTCTGGGTTTAAAAAATTTAATTTTCAGTCAACCTTTTATTTAGCCTCCAACACCTATCTGCATCACTAGCTGATTCTTCTGTAACTACTCAAAATGGTTCCAACTCTCAAACAGATCTAGACATTGGGGTGTTTCTGCTGTTTTAAAGCTTCAGCCATCTCAACACAGGTCAGAATTGCCAAAATGAAAATATTTTCCAGTTAGCTATTTATTTATAACATTTATTTATATTTATTTATAAAATATTTTACCAGGAAAGATACATTGAGATTTCTCTTGTTTTCAAGTATGTCCTGGGTCCACAAAACATTGCATTGTTACATTAGGGTACAATAAAATACAAATACAATACAAATACAAAATACAAAAACAATATTAATACACAATATATACAAAATTTACCATAGAACAGGTAGGAAATATATAATCACCCATGACATGTGCATTCTGTTTTGAGGTATGTATAGAGGGATCTCTTAAAGGACTCTAGGCTTGGGGAAGATTTTAAAGTGTGCGGGAGGTCGTTCCACAATTGTGGTGCTCTGTAGGAGAAGGAGGATCGGGCCGCTTTCTTATGCTTCCACAAAAGGGATTCTGGCAATAAATGGAAACTTTAAAATGGTCTAGGTGCACTGTCCCTGTCAGTTTAACCCTACAATGGTAATTATTGCATGGAAATTGCAATAATTAGATTGCAGGGTTAACTCCACCTCAAGTGGTTGTCTACCAGACAGCCACTAGAGGCGCTTCCAGGTTGTTAGGCAACATCCAGCATCTGCTAAATCAAATAGGAAAGTATTGATTCAATGCTTTCCTATAGAGCTATGCTAATGTGTTTGTGGCGATTGCCACACATGCGCATTAGGTCCCCGACGTCGGGGGAGAACAAGGAAGACGGAGTCTGACCAAGTGTCGAGGGACATCGTTGCTGGATTCAGGTAAATGGCAAAAGGGTTTTTAACACCGTTTGCGTTGGTGGGGTGAGCAAGCAAGGGGGCTCTATAAACTAGGAATATAATTTTCTATTCCTAGTTTATAGTTTCCCTTTAAATTTGAAACTCACTTTGAATTCCTGACAATTCTCAATTTCCTAAATAACCCTGACAGGTGCCTCTGTATGAGTCAACTAGTTCAGCACCGATGACGAAAGCCAGGAAGTTTAAACCAGATAATGTTAAAACAATTAACACTAATTGAAAAAAATACACACACTGCAGGTATTTTTAATTAATATATTTAATGACAAAAGCTCTGCATATGAACGGTCCACATAACATTTCCTCTGGTTCTTTTGTGCAACAATCCCCTGACAGTAGCGTGTAATTAGATACTTCACAAGGATCATACATAATGTTATCATGACTATAACTTCATTACTATAAAGTGATTCATTTGTCGCAACAATTCATTATCAAGTATAAAAAAAAAAACTTCAAGAATGAATATAATACAAAAAAATAAAATAATTATAAATAACAAGGCAATTTTACTTAACTACAGCATTGGAGATATGATCTTTTCTCTAAACTATTAAAGGTGTTTCTCCTACTGTGAAATTAGCAGTTCAACAAGTCAAACGAAGGTAATAATGTTCTACGCATTTCTATATGCAGAACAGAAAGTGTTTATAACAGAAATGTTAGAAATTTAACTCCTTGACTGCTGGTGGATAACGCATGATAATGCTGTGTCCTTACATAACCGCTCTTTTGAACATCTTCAGTTTCAATTGATTGTAGTGTTCACAGCTGTGCTAACCTCAAAGGTTTCCTCGATTTCTTATCCCAATATGTGTAGCTGCTGAAATAGGAAATAGCTGGATGTTGGATATAAAAGACGTTGTCATGGCAATGTGCATGTTTTGGTAGGTGATTCTTTATAAGTAACAGGGTATTATCTCAATTCACAAAATGATTAAGTATTATTTCTCAAATCAGTATGAAAGGAGAGCTAAATTAGGGTGAAGGATTGGGACATCTGACTTCCCCTCACTTATCTCTGTAGTGCCCAAATTATAACCCTTACTGTTTTATTGGACATTTATTTTGTCAGTCTACTGCTTTTCCTTAAGGGTGAGATGCTCTGAATTGACTATAGATATGTTTCTTGTCAAGAAACGTAAATTTATTCAAAATGGATATTTTCTACACTTGTGTATTTGATTTCAAATGAACTGCTATTCGTCTGAATTTTGCACTCAGGGGAGAGTGCGCCCTCGCCCGCCCGCCAGCCTGCCCGGTCACTCAGCAACACCACTGGATCCCAGGGAATCCCCTCAGCACTCCCAAAGGTAGGGAGGTTGGGGGATTAAATGTTTTTTAAAATGTGTGTGTGTGTGTGCTAGTGTTAGAGTGTGTGTGTGTTAGAGTGTGTGTTAGTGTTAGAGTGTGTATGTGTGTTAGTGTTAGTGTGTATGTGTGTTAGTGTTAGAGTGTGTGTCTGTTAGTATTAGATTGTGTGTGTGTTAGTGTTAGAGTGTGTGTGTGTGTGTGTGCGCGTGTGCGTGCGTGCGTGTGCATGCGTGTAAGAGTGTGTGTGTGTTAGTGTTAGAGTGTGTGTGTTTGTGTTAGTTTTTGTGTCAGTGGGTGTGTTAGTTTGTGTGTGTCAGTGAGTGTGTTACTGTGTCTGTCTGTTACTGAGTGTGTTAGTTTGTGTGCGTCTGTTAGTGAGTCTGTTTGGTGTCTGTTAGTGAGTGTGTGTTTTGTAAGTGAGTGTGTATGTGTCTGTCAGTCAGTGTGTATGTATGTATCTCAGGGGAGGGTGCTCCCTCACGTGCCCGCCAGCTTGCCCGGTGACTGGCTGCCCTGCAACACCAATGGACCCCAGGGAATCCCCTCAGCACTCCCAAAGGTAGGGAGGCTGGGGGATTCTTTTTTTTTTTAAATGTGTGTGTTAGTGTTAGAGTGTGTGTGTGTGTGTTATTGTTAGAATGTGTGTGTGTGTGTGTTAGTGTTAGAGTGGGTATGTGTCTTAGTGCTAGAGTGTGTGTGTTAGTGTTAGAGTGTGTGTTAGTGTTAGAGTGTGTGTGTTAGTGTTAGAGTGTGTGTTAGTGTTAGAGTGTGTGTGTGTTAGTGTTAGCGTGTGTGTGTGTTAGTGAGTGTGTTACTGTGTGTGTCTGTTACTAAGTGTGTTAGTTTGTGTGCGTCTGTTAGTGAGTCTGGTGTCTGTTAGTTAGTGTGTGTTTTGTGAGTGTGTATGTGTCTGTCTGTCAGTGAGTGTGTATGTATGTCTGTCACTGAGTGTGTGTTTGTCAGTAAATGTGTGTCTGTTAGCTAGTGTGTATGCGTCCGTTCGTGAGAGTGTGTGTGTGCGTGTCTGTTAGCTAGTGTGTATGCATCTGTTCGTGAGAGTGTTTGTCTTCAGCACTTACCTTTCTCCAGCACCAGACTCCCTTGGCGCTGGGGATCCCTCCACCCCGATCTGCCTCTCAGCTCCAAATGCGCATGCGCGGCAAGAGCCGTGCGCGCATTCAAACCGCCCATAGGAAAGCATTACTCAATGCTTTCCTAGGGACGTTCAGTGTCTTCTCACTGTGATTTTCACAGTGAGAATCGCGGAAGCTCCTCTAGCGGCTGTCAATGAGACAGCCACTAGAGGCTGGATTAACCCTCAGTGAAACATAGCAGTTTCTCTGAAACTGCTATGTTTTCAGCTGCAGGGTTAAAACTAGAGGCACCTGGCACCCGGACCACGCTGGGGATCCCTCCACCCCGATCCGCCTCTCAGCTCTGAATGCGCATGCGCGGCAAGAGCCGTGCGCGCATTCAAACCGCCCATAGGAAAGCATTACTCAATGCTTTCCTAGGGACGTTCAGTGTCTTCTCACTGTGATTTTCACAGTGAGAATCGTGGAAGCTCCTCTAGCGGCTGTCAATGAGACAGCCACTAGAGGCTGGATTAACCCTCAGTGAAACATAGCAGT